TTTATAGCATAACTTTAACTGCAACCTGTCTTCATGTAACACAGAAGTAATTACACTTAACAAGGTATAAACACCGTTTTTATTAAGGTTACATTTATAGTTGAATTATGAACTATTTCCTGATTTCTGTGCTTGATCTCAAGATTTGCTCATATGTCTTCATCAAAAGAAGTTGTAGACAACACAGGGAAATATTTACAAATATGAAGATATCTGAAATCATTTCCATACAAATAGTACAAAAGAGATGAAGCATATGAATGACAATCTTGAATTTACTGCTGAAGAAAATCTTTATAGAACTGAAATAAAATTGTAGCAATGTAGAAAATCTTTCACACTGATGAAGAGTTAATGCAAAGTAGGTGTTTGGTCCAAATCTGGGAGAAATTTATTGAAATTCCTTGCTTCTGTATAAGGAAAAATATGAAGAGAATTGCAGACACCTATGCATATATGTATGTATATATTTGTATGTATATATTTAGGTGTGTGCATACTTTGGAATATTTAGATAAAGTTGTGGGTAAAAATACTTAAAAGAAGTTTTAAATTGTAATGGAATTCATATTAAAAGTACTTTTAAAGTTCTTTAAGTTTTTGATATGATTTCCATTACAATTTAAAATTTCTACTAAGTATTTTTCCCATAATCTTATTTCTCTATATTAAAGTGTTAACTTTTAATAAGTTTAATTTTACAATAGTTTTGCTCTTCATTTATTTTTTGGGGATAATTGTAAATTAAAATTATAATTTGGTTTAAATATATAGTCTTAGCAGCGATAGCATTACATTTTTACCTTTAACATTCATATATATTTTTTAATTATTTACTTTATATATATATATACATATATTTATTATACATGTGTATAAGACTAAATATTGCCTGTATAGAAAAAATTAAAAATTTTTTATGTGTATGTTGCTTTTATTCTTATGCACAAATAGTTGCCCAGCAATAGACAAGCAGTAAGACCATTGAACACCAGTCATTTGAATCTGTAAATCTCTATGAACAGGTTGAATTCAGAAGAGTTTTCCTGATTTCACTTATGAGTAACATGAATTCGAGCCAGTTCTGCATAAAACATTGTCCTCAAATCCCCGGAAATCTCTTCCATTAGGCAAATAGCCTCAATGTGGTTTGCCATAATCCAATCAACCCAGTTAATTGTATAAATAGATAAAAAGAAATGTAAATTCTTAATTTTGGATGAGTTGCATTACATACATATTTGTGTAGTCAGTTAACTTTCTTTCATTTAATATTGCATTTTGCTAGGATTAATTGAGTGAGGGAGTCATGAATATATCTATCTATTTATCTCTCTATATATGAAGCACATTAGTCTAACAGTGTTTTTACAAGACACAAAAGATGCAAATGTAAAATTTCATTACAATTTTCAATAAATTTATAAACATAATTGATGTATCAAGTAACAATTACATTTAACCCATTAGTAGTTAAAGTGCCATTTATAACAATTGTAATCACTTAACCCTATTATTATTAAATTATAATGCTGTGATAATTCCACGAATTTTCATTAAAACCTCTTTTGTTTACAGATAGATTCTAACATAACGCTATGTAGGAGGGGGGAAATACATACAGTACAAAGTCTTTAATCCGGACTCGTTGGGACTTCGATGATTCCGGATATAGGGGTTTTTCCGGATTATAGATCATCAATTTAAATCTGGTAAGATGGCATGCAGAAATTATAAAATTAAAAATATGCAACCGTAATTTATGAAATAAAGAGCAATTATGATCAAAATTTACACACACACACACAAAATACTTAATGTTTATTTGTTTACTTTATTAAACATTTTTTTTCAATGTAAGTTGTTTAAGTTGCTTTGTTTTATGTGCTAATACTTTTTCTTATATCTGGAAACAATCATAATTTCTTGTTCAGTTACAAAGTTCCGCTGTTCAAGTCCTGTAATTGCTGTGCCGAGAATACCGACTAACTTGTCAATCGAAATTTTTTCGTTTTCACCAACCTCTCTGTCACTTTCTCCATGCCTTTATCCATTTTTTGCAGCATTTCCACTTTTTGTTTGATCAACATTGAAACATGCTTACGCTTTGTAGATCCTTTGGCAGCTCCAGAATCGGAAACGCTTTTTGACATAATCGAAAGTTCAAGCTTACTTTTTATAAAATTGCTCTACAGTCATACAGTTTTATAAAATTACAGTCTGCAAAAAATAATAAGCCAGATCCAATGAGAAGATTAAGGAACAATGCAATCTGCAACATTAACTGAAATAGATAATTAGATAATTCTAGCCTAGCTTATACCGTACATTATACATTAAACGTGCATGTGTAAACGTATTATGCGCATGCGTAAAGGTATTATGCGCATGCATAAATGCTACACATGCGCAGAAAGTTTGTAGCTTTGAGGTCCGCATTATAGATCATTCCGGATTAAAGACTTTGTACTGTGTCTAATGCAAATTATTTTTACTTAACAATTTAAGATGCATATTTTTAAAAGCATTTTAATTTAATTCTGAAAATAATCTTTCTGTTGAAGTATATGTTTCTAGAATTTACATTTATAATAAAAATACCACTTTTATGATGAAATTTTTGATAGTAGTTTTACCTTTGAAACTACAGAATAGCAAAACTGAGCTGTAGACTCTTTGCAATGATTTAGTTTTGTATTTAATCATACATTATTCTTAATCTGACTTTATGTTTAAAGTTGAAAGCATTTAAAGGTTTAATAACAGAAAGTGAGAAAATTTACATTTTTCGAAGTTATCTGTGTGTATATATTAATTTATTAAAGTCTGCTGTGAGGTAATTTACAATTTTTCAGCATATGGTTTATTAATTATAACTATATAAGTGTGTGATATGAAAGACATTTTAATGAATAAAAATCATTCAGTACTTTATTATGTTGACTGCCCAACACGAAGTAACTCGTATTAGTGCTCTTCTTCAGGACACCCAATGTGCGTTAACAGTTTTTATGTTATTATCCAGTTATTTATGATTTCAGCCTTTACTATAATTTCACGTTTCTATTTCTTCATATGGTAGAGTTACTGAGCCAGCTTAAGTTAAAATTAAATTGTATATTCTTTGACCACTAGTCCACATTTTTAGTTTAAATGTGACTATTCTTGTTTAATTACATTACCGCAAGCAGTAATTGATTTTGTTAGCATGCCTTTATGTTCTAAGTTCTTTTGACAAGTTAGGATGTAGCACGTCAAAGCACATAGAAACTAGTGAGAACATTAGTTTGCATGTTGAGACAAATTTCTGATTGCTAGAAAAGATGCTTAAAGAGAAGGAAATCGATATAAATTAGCCAAAATATCTGAGAAGTGCTTCAAATTAAAAAGACGCATAAATATTTTGTTGAGTGTGGTTGTTACAAAACATAAATGTTTTGAAGCTCTTAATACGTAATTATCCTAATATCATTTAAGAATCAATGTCATAAATTACATATATTTTACACTGTGAAATTTTATGATTTTAATAGGGCCTTTTTTAACAAATATTTTTAAAAGATAAATAAAATTTAATAGTGGCCATGTAAATCCATAATGACAGGTTATCTAACTACCTAATTTAATTATTTATAACTAATTGTTTACCCTTAAAAATTATCTCTGCATATTAAAGCGAGTTATTGCCTTTCATTAAACCTTACCGTGGTCACATGATAAAACACGTAAATGTAAAACTTATTCTTTGCATCTAGAAAGACTTAAAATAATACAAAACAACTTATCACTTGTGGTGCTTTAGTGGCTCATTGGAACCTTAAAGTATATTAACTGGGTTATAATCCCTGGAAATCTACATGAAACTACGACACTTAACTGCTTCAAACAGAGCCCAACGAACTTTCAAAACTTGCCAACCGTACCTGCATCAAGCCTTTCAGATTTGTTCTAATCAGCAGGTCTCTCTCTAGGCAAGCAGTAGAGGTGACAGCATCCAGTCTTTTGTTATGAAATATGCTGATTCTGATCTTACTTCTCATTTTAATCCATGCCACTTGACATAAAATTTACCTGATATTTACTAAACCTATATACTGAGCAAGTATGTGACAAAATGAAACAAACAAACAAACAAAAAAAAAAAAAAAAAAAAAAAAGCAAAACAATATAAAGCTAACTGTTAGTAAAACATAAATAAAATGCCCCTTATCTTCTTTCAAATAATAAATTCAAATAAACTATTTAATGCTACTTGATACATTTTATAAAGTTGATTTTATTCTTAAACTTATTAATAATTTTGTTAATTAATTCATGTTTAATAATAGTTCATCCTAGTTACGGATTGATTTTATTTTTAGGATGGTATTGCGTATGTGAATGAAGTTCAGGCATAATATTTTTAATTAAATTTATTCAGTTTCCATCTGCTCGTAAGTCCTTAATTTTTTCATTAATGGCCCTTAAAAGTACTTAATTTCCATGTGCAGAAATGTGTACGAACCCTGCAAGGGTTATTTGAGTAAGGGGAAGGCAACTAAAGAGAGAAGGCATAAGCCTAGTCCACTAGGAGGGTTAAACTTATGTGTCAGTAAAAGTATTGAGCCAGCTTGTAGCTGACTACATTATGAATGGTGAAATTTGTTTGACTTGTTATTGTTAAATTTACATAATCATGAGTAATGGGTTTTGGCTGTAGAACAAGTCATGCCTTTTACGGTAAAATTTCGAGATTAAGTAAAACAATTATTTAAAACCTTTGCAATTCTTTGTCATACCAAGCATATTTTAGCAATAGCTTGCTAACCTAATAGGGTTCTGGGTCTTAATTTCGGTATAAATAACTATTGCAACCTTACAAGCTTTTCCATTAAATTTTGAGATTATAATGTTTAAAAATAATACTGTTCCTTAAATTCTGCATGTCAGTATGTAAATGTAATGTATGTGGGATGTTATTTTTAATAACTGTGTGTTTTAACTGATATCATTTCTTCTAGATTTGGGCATGTGTTTATGGCTGATACAGGAACATCTGTAGGGGAAATAGCTGGTCATAGTAACCTTATAAATTCATGCGATTTTCGTCCAAAACGGCCATATCGCATTATCACTGGGAGTGAAGACAACTCTGTTGGCATATACGAGGGACCACCCTTCAAGTTCAAAACAACCCTAAATGTAATTTCATGTTATTTTTTAGATGTACTGTGCAAATATGAATTCAATATTTAATATTACAATAATTTTTTCCTTATTTCAAATATTCATTGTTTTTTGCCATTACAATAATTGTTTGTTTTGGCATTTGCAGTAATTTTTGCAATTAAATCTAATACTACTGTATCCTTAAAATTTTTATTAATTCTGAGACGACTTCATTTATAATGGAAATATTATATCTTTTTTATGTTGCAACATATTTATAAATTTCATATCTGTTTTAGTGGGTATATTTGACTTTTATTATCTTAGTTAATGTATTTTTAGAGAAGTAAATATACAACATATGTTTTTTTTGTTATGAAATTATTACCGAATACCTGAATATTTTGAAAATGGGATACTTGCATATTAATACAACAACCTTAGTGCAGTTTTTTACAGATGAAAGGCTACTTATCGGTTGCAAGTTATTAGTTTTCACAACTCGTTTTTAAAAGATTCCTGAAAAAAGTGATATTTATTGTAAGTTCCTAAATGCTAAAGTTATTGTAAGTTCCTAAATGATATTTATCATAAGTCAGCAAACATTATCAACACAGGTAAAGGAAACATACTTTAACAATTTAAAATAGAAATATTTAATTATTAGATAAGGATTACATGATACATTAAATAGTAAAACATTTGCATTCATCTCCAAATCTCTGTTTAATTTTTTTTGTGCTGTTGTTTTTCCTAAGTATGCAGCAGTTTCTTTTCACTTAAAAATACAGGGAATTGCAGAGACTTGGCATTGCACAAATGTTGGCTACACCAGCTATCTACCAAATGCATTTACACGATTCCCTTTAGAAATTTTGCAGAAAAATTGTGTTTTCCTGCAGAAATTTTTACTGCAGTTTCTTCCATAAGAGCATATTTTTAAAATTAAGGGGGGGAAATTCTTTTTCAATAATAGTAATAAAAAGAGTTAGAACTTTGAATACAATGAAAAGAACATGTGAGAAAATTATGACATTGCTTGACTGAAGAATTATTATGCGTGTGGTTGCCAGAGTTTGTCATAATAAAAACATTTGCTGATTTTTACACTTGTGTAGAACACGTAAGTATCGAAAATGCATATTAGTACTAAAACCTATTTTAAATAAAATTTAAGAATTAGACTGGGCTATGAAAATGCCATCTATTTCATAAGAATTTTGTATCAAATAAAAAAATGCATGTTAATATTGAAACGGTCAGTTGTAAATAAAATTATTAGCCTTATATTTGGTATTGCTTTTTTTTATGCATTTTTATTATATGAGTCTATTTTGAGAAAACAGATATCCTGTTATAATAATTGCTTCTAAATTTTTCATGAAATATTAAATATATATAAAATAAATGATAGTACAACTTTGAGTTATAACATAAATCTAAATGTGAAATTTGAGGTGGAGAAGTGCTGTATATTAAAAGAAATTCTGAAAAGAGCAGACCTGTATTTATACCAAAAGCCAAACAGTAAAATAAATGGGAAAGTAACACCATATATCCACAGGAATAGTAAAAAAGTGTGAAAAATTAATAGCATTTTAAAAGCTGGCAAGAACTGAATTATAATTAAAGTCATTAACTAAACTAGATGAATGTTTAAAAAATGTTCGTCTTGCCTTCAAAGAGAACATTCCAAGCCAAACTAAAAGAGTGTTAAAGTTTTGCACCAAGTAACTTAATCTTTTGTCCAAAAAGAAGAAATAAACAAAAGTTAATCATTGCTGGAGAAATTTAATCACAGTTTTGACTTTGAGTCGGCAAATGTTATCCAAATAGCTTTTTCAATCAGTGACCTGGGTTTCGTTGAAGCTCTTAATGTTTTAAAATGATATTAACTTAATTTTTCAAGTTTTATTACTATTTCTGTGGACTGTCTACTTGCCCATTTGTTTTACTTGTTTGGCTTCTGGTGTAGATACAACTTTGTTCTTTGCATAATTCTTTTCTTTTGATGATAAGGGACTTGCACATGGTGCTCTTAACATCGTTAGTCTTGGTTAAAATATACATCAAACAAAAGGTTGTTGGTTTGCCTAATTTTTATATTGTACATTATTTTAGTGTATTACTGCTCAGTTTTCCAGCTATGGTTAAATTTCACCAAGTCGAAAAATATAAATAGGGGGTCTGATCAAATATTCTTAACTGTGGATTATTAAATATTCTTATGTTAAATAGTGTTTGAATGTCACTTCGTACTAGAATTTGAGAGGTGTATAAATTTGTTTACATGCTATAAGTAATAGTCTGAATACTTTCAGCAATAATATTTAACTTTTTTTTAAAAATAAACATTAAGTACTATTGTTGCCATTGCAGTTGCCATAATTTATGCTGTGGGATTGGAGTATAATCATAATTTTCTAATTTTTCTTTCAGGATCATACCCGTTTTGTCCAATCAGTAAGATTTTCTCCTGATGGTGAATTATTTGCAAGCGGTGGATTTGATGGCAAGGTTAGTTATACTGATAGATTACCACAATTCTTTTTCTTTTACCTTGCTCATAATTTTTAATGAATGATTTATTGTTTAAAGACTGAATGTCATAGAAGGCTTATTAATATACTTTTAAATTTCCAGATGTTTTTATATAAAGGTGGAGATTATTCAAAAGTTGGAGAATTTGGTAGCCCTGCTCATGCAGGTGGTGTCTATGCTGTAAGTTTTTGTGTTTTGAATAATTTCTTAAATTTTATTGAGTTCAGAAATTGCTTTTATTTATTATTTAATACTCTTGTTTGGAAGAAATATTCACTGCTGTGAAGATTGTGCAATAATGAATTGTAACCAAAAAGGTAAATTTCAAAATAAATTCACAAGTTTTCTCATGAATTTAACATGTAATACATTATAAAAGCTTTTAAGAGCAAATGTTCTGTGTGCATCTCACAGAGTTGATTTTTCCCTTTAGAAAGAAAAATAATTGCCAAGCAGCATGATATGTATGTTTTGTGAAATGTCTTAAATTTTTTACAGAAATTTTTCATAATTAAACAGTATTTTCCATCTTGAAGCTAATTATTGAACACTAAAAAATTATTTCTCTCCTCTTCCCCCCCCCAAAAGAAAATATTTTTTGGGCTTGACTTCATCAGGAGACATGGGAAGTTTTTACTTTGGCATAAAGATCTGAACAAATACCACATTTAGTGACATTCTGTACAGAGTGATCCAAAGTTGGCAAACATTTAAAAAAATTATTTTGTGAGTTTCTGATGCATAGAAAATATGTATAGCATAAAATTGCAGGAGGAACTAATGGATTAAGAAATTTTATTTGTAGCACATTTTGTAAATGTAGTGCAAATGTAAAATTTTAATTGCACTTGTGTGTTCTGTACGTGCAGCAAAATACTTATGAGAAATCTTGAATGATACGACTACCATCATGGGACTTTGCTTGAATACCAACTAAAACATTAAGGAAAGCACAAAAACCATTTCTGTGGAAATAAATGGTAGTTGCTGTCACATAGCTTCTTTTGCCAGTGACTTAGCGTGATTTCTGTATATTTGTAACTTCATATAGGTCCATAATGAAAAATGAATTTCAAATCTAGAGATCAGAAATTCTATGATTTCACTTTTTATACTAAAAGTCCCAGCATATTACTCCATTTTCTGCTTTAAGTTGAGAATAAGAAGCAGTGTGAGATGGTGTTCAATACTTCATGAGTATCAGAAAATCTAGTTTCTGTTTTCAGTTTTAGAATTATAATGCTTCTTAACAAGTTAGTATATTGCTGATCCACAACAATGATAACTGAAAAACAGGTGCACATATAATTAGGATTCTAAGGTGTAATATTGTCTGTTAATGTAACTACAAAATTTATACACCATATATTTCTGTGTGTAAGCCAAGAATTTTTGGAACTTTTTCTAAAGCTAAATTATGGGGTTCAGCTTGTATGTGGAACTGCTAATCTTGCAAAAAATATAGATACTTGTGAGTTATTATGCATAAATTGTGCCTATTCAAAAAAATGATCGCAACATCCTATAGAAGGAACAGAATCCAATGGTTTGCTTTAGGTTAATTCAGGTTGCTTCATGTTCAGCATCCTGATTCAGATAGCTGTATGGGTATGAGTAAAATGGTTCATTCTTGGTTCTTGAATCAATGTGGCAAATTTTTTCTCCAGGGCACGAAGCATAAGCCAATAACCATGTGCAGCCTTTTTTTATTATGGCATGTCTGCAAATTCAAGGCATTTTTGAAGTTGATTTTTCATTTATGGTGAAATGCCGAGCAGCCATGCTGTTGTTAGAATATTCATCAGACGTGATCATCCGTAGTTTGAAACTTGCCATGTAAAAATTTCTCTTTCCACTCATCTTTCAGACAAAAAATAAAATGACATAGAAAATATGACTACCACAGATTGTATTCTAGACAACAAATAAATATGAAAATTATGCTATCTTTAAGTAGGGTAACCAGAATTAAAATTATTGTTGTTAGTGTCTGACATTCTATTTTATAGCAACATGATTGAAAACTATTCCATCCATTTTAACAGTTTGCTATAGTTTTGCCCACACGAGGACATGTTTGAACGTTGGAAGAATTTTTTTCATTTCAGCTTATGCATAGATTTTGAATTTTGGGTAAATTTTTGAAGAAAAAAAAATGTGCTCCCTTTTTTATATTTGGAAATATATAATTAGATTCTTTAAAATAATCTGTAATTTTATGCATTTCCATGTTAATTACAGAGGTATTCATGTACTGTAAGGTCTATGAAATACAAATTTCTAAAATGTTTATTATCCTTTGGATTATCTTATTTTATATAAGATGAAAAAATTAAAGCACCCTAGTCTCAGTGTCTGCTTTACTAAGTGCAGTTTAAAATCCTTTCCATCGCACACCTTTTAAAACTTTTTGAAGCCAAAGTAAATTTAGAAAAAAAAAAAAAAAATTATGTTTGTCTGTATTGTGATATAATGAATCTTTCTTCTATTATTGCTGAATCCATGCTGTTTCATTTGGTTTGGGAACAGTTTTCAAGTTGCATTTTCTTTATGAGATGAGCTGTGTTCTAAAATAAAAGGTTATATCCATGACAAAAGCATGAATCGAGACATTTTCGGTCCATTATTATGCAGTGTGCTTTATTAGACCCTACCATTACAGGATCAATAAGAAATTTACACATTCTATTAAGGAACACAGCATATGGTTACCATCTGCTGTAGTATGTGAGAATATGTCATCCTTTTTCCAGCATTATTGGAGATATCCTCTGTTGATGTTCTGAACATTCATATGATGCTATCAATGTGTGCTCTGATCAGTATTTGCGATGAGAAAGGCTTATTTTTGTAATCACAGCATTTCAAGTATTCCTTATGGTAGAGTGAGGAATCAAAATTATATGAAAAAGATATGCACCATTGGTTATATCCATGGGCCATCTTCACAAAGCCATTTCCTTCCATGACAAATAATCCTGTATAATACACTCTTTTAATAATTAAATTAACCTTTTCAAACAAATAAATCATGCGTATAGTATATGGAAAGTTCTGAAATAATTTGTATTGAAGCTAAAAGTCAACTTTATTTAAGTACTTTTAAGATTTCTTTGTATTCTTGTTTTATCCAAGATTATTTTTACATAACAAAAAAAGTTCTCTTATTTTTGCATTTCAAACACAAATAAAGTTTTGCTTAAGCTGTTATGTTTTCCCCCTTTATGATAATGAAAGTAAAACCTTTTCTCAGGAAAACATAAAGTTTCATTTTTTAGATGGCAGATAAAAATCTTGATAAAAAATTCTAATTTATTTACTTAAATGTACTTTACAAAATGTCTTTTTTAATTAACCAAATTTTAGATTGTGTTTTTTAATCAAGTGTGGTTAAATCTTTGTCATTGTTACTCATGTTTTTTTGTACTGAAATTTTTAGGCTTGTAGCATTCAAAATTCCATATTTCTATTTATGGGGACCAGTTCAAAATGTTTTATATCATTTATAAAAGTAATACATCTTAAAAGCATTCTTTTATGTATTTGATCAAAAAATATTTCATTTTGTAGGTTATATTTTTTGTGATGCAATCTTTGTGAACCGTACAGGTTTTATGTATTGCTTCAACAAGGCATTCTTAAAATGTTTAATTTTGTGTGTTTGAAATATCAAAATAAATAAAAAAAGATTCTTGTTTATTTTCCTGCATGTATCCACTTTGATGAAGTGGATGGAATTTAAGTTATTCTAAATTCATTTCTTATTCAACTCATAAATGATGTATTGAATTTTTATAAAGGTGTCATGGAGTCCTGATGGGACTAAGGTTCTTTCTGCCTCTGGTGATAAAACATGCAAAGTGTGGGATGCATCAACACTAGCAGTCTTATCGTATGTATTAGTGCTGTTAAATGTATTTGTTTCATAAATGTGCATGTTTATTAAAAATAAGATTGAAATAATTAATAATTTTAGTTAGTTCTGGTTATGAAGCTTTTCAAATAATTTATTTTAGGGAATTTCATCTTGGTACTGATATAATGGATCAACAAGTGAGTTGTTTATGGCAAGGTGAATATCTGCTCTCTGTGTCTTTATCTGGGTTCATCAATTACCTTGATTTAAATAACCCTTCAAAACCTTTAAGGATTATTAAGGTAGGTATGATTAATAGTAGATTCTTAAAATTTCTCTTTCTAGTATTATCAGTAAAATATTTATGATTTTTCAGGGTCACAACAAATCCATTACAGCATTAGCTATTAGTCCAGACAAAAGTACTATATTTACTGCGAGTCATGATGGTGCAGTTAATATCCTTTCTAACGTTATAATTCATTTCCCCCCTTATTTATATTTGCTTTAATTTTTTGTAATTCTTAATAAAAATGTAAGTGATTCTTTTCCTTGTTGCTAAGACACATGGAATGAACCCTGTTCTTTAATGATTTTAAGTTGGATATCTGTTTTGTTATACTGACATTTTGATATTTTCCTTAATGTTTTACTGTATTGGGATTGGCCTTCTGGTAATCATGACAGAATCAAAGGAGTTGGGCACAGCAATCAAGTGCAAAATATGGCTGTTAACACTGATTATATCTTTACATGTAGCCTTGATGATACTATGAAATCAATCAGCTGCAAAGATCATCAGTATCAGTGAGTTTATTTCTTCTAATTTTTAGTTTTTCTTTATAAGCGAATAAATTGAATTTTCCTTATGGTCGTTTAACTGATTTTGCTTTTGCTTATGCATATTTGTTATTTAATTTTTCATTGTCATTTTATATTTCTAAAATTATTAAATTTATTTCCAAATCCTAATGAAATTAAAACATTTTAGAAAGAAATGGCATGTACTTGTGTACTTGTGTGTACATGCTACTAAAAAAATCTCTTGGATGTTTATTAAAAATTTTACAGATATATGTGAAGTATATAATATTCTATGAATGAATAAATTATTAGCATAACATATACAAATTCATCATAGTCTTGAATGCAGAAGTGCAAAGTAAGGGGGGGGGGGGGAACTGCAGCATATGTTATTAATTGCTATATGACAGTTAAAAAAAATATTTTCTTTGGTGTATAATAAAGTCATACATAGTAGTTAGGATAGGGAAAAAAATTTAAATGTATGAATGGAAATTACTTCTTGTTATGTAAATTGATTGAATATTTTTTAGCCCAGTGGAAAGCAGTTGATAAAATTATATGTTTGTGAGTATTTCATTACTCAACAGGTGTTTAGAAAATATAAATTTTTGTTCCAAAGATATTGATTATGTTTGTTGGGGAACATTAAGATGGATTTAAGTCTTATTTTCACACTTGCATTCAAGTTCATTTCTTTTCTATGTTTAAAAAATGATTTTTTTCCCCTTGCCTAAAACTGATTAAAATAAGTTTGATAACTTCGCCATTTCTTTTACTGTTCATATTGTAGTTTTTTATTATTTTTGAATCTATGTTAGATTATAATAGTATATTTGTATATTTTTATGAATCTTGATTAACATTTGACTGTTAGAGTTATAAAAAAATTATCGTCAATATTGTTTGAATGGAAAATAGAAAACAATTGGAAATGATTTATTTCATATATATTTTAGACATGAAGTATAGAAAGTTCAATATAAGTAACTAAATACATGGTATCCAAGTTCTCATAAAGCTGTCTTTCTTTTTCAGTAGAATCCTTGTATCTTTTTCCATAATTAAGTATTCAATTCAGCCCTGCCCACAAATAATGCTCATTATCCCAATCCATCACCTTAACAATAGTTTCATACTAGATTTACCCATTTTGATGTTTGGAACAGTATCTTTTCAGTAACAAGTCTAGGTGTAAACAGTCAAAGGGAAAAGGAAACAAAGATTTTTTTTTTTTTTTTTTTAACCCGAAGAAAGAAAGTTGATTTGCACTGTCCAATAGTATGAAATTTTTATATCTCAGAAACAAATTTTCCTGGATGTAATAAAAGTTCTACTTTATGTAATGTAATCAAATAATTATGTAAAAGATGTAAAATTCTCATTAATTTACTTCAAAAGTTTCTTTCTATGAAAATCATGATTTTTTTAAAATAACATAAATATGGTATTGTGGCTCTTGATCTAATTGTGGCTTTCAGTAGTTCCTGAGTCCTAATTTGTGGCTTCAGCTGTCATGAAGTTAGACTAAGGACTGTAATGCAAATTAATTTTATGATAATAGTTCACAGACAGAAGTGTTAGTTTCTAACTTGAAAGTAATAATAAAATATTTACTGCAGTTGAAATCTGAGTGTCTAAGCTTACACCCACATGAAGTAATTGTAGTCTAAGATAGGAATTTAATTGTTTTATTTTACTGTTAGCTGAAAAATTTTCCCTTTTTCAGCTTCTTAATTTCTGTCTCAAATGTTTGCCCGATACATATGTACTAGGAATTGCTTCAACTTTCAGGTATTCAGATCCTTCTCTTTTGATTATCTGCAATCTCTCCTGGTTACCTTCTGTTTATCTGCAAAAGCTAAAACTTGAAGAATGTTATAATAGATGTTATTGGTAGCTAAGAAAATAGATGCAGATATTTGAGTCACTGTATCTGTAGCAGTAGAAGAGCTTTAAGTAGTACTTATGCCAGTTTAAGCTAACGTTTATGTTCAATTGCAGCGCTTCTTTGAAGGGTGGGGTCTTCAATGAAGATCCATCCACAGTTTATCGAGGAGAATTCTTCCTGGGTGCAAGCTCCTTGAAGTTATATCTATCAATGCAATATGATGCCATTGGTGAAGGGATGCTATCCTGGATCACTGCTTTGATTTGCCTTGAAAGTTTTAGACTGTGTGTGTAAATGCATGGAAGAATACGGATATCTGACCACAGACAGATGCAACAAATTTTTCTTAGTGCAGACAAAACTTGTTTTATCAATTTTGATGGCAGTACTGCTGGACACAGTTCTGGGCAGAGAATTGTGATGCACTTGATTAGAGATGTGATTTGCAGATCCAGGGTCAGCCTAGTTTCTGACTTTTAACAGATGAGGCAATAGATTTCATGTAGACAGCATCTCTCTGTATATACTTTTGGATGTGTATAGAAACTCATATTTTCCTCTTAAATTCCATCTTGGAAAAAAATGCATCTGCTTTTTTTTCTAAATTATTGATAAAGTGCAAAGATGAGATAAATATTGTACATTCTTTTGATGCCTTGACTGGATGGAAATAATTCAATTTATGTATTGAGCATCATAATTACTGTATATATATATATATATATAATTTATTTCCTAAACAGTATTGATTAATTGATTATATTATCTCCTAAGTTTAATTAAAGTAGAATTATTTTAAAAGTGTGCATCCATACTGGGAAGTTATATTTTGAAAGATGTTTTGAAGTAATTTGAAAGCAAAATGTTAATAATGTTTTAACGGGGACTGGAGTTAAATCATCACGAAGAATAATATTTCAATTGTAAAAGGAAAAATTAAAACATGTAATCATTGTCATTGATCGGAAATTAGTTGACTTTTCAAGGGGAACATTTTGCTTTCAGATTACTTCAAAACATCTTTCAAAATATAACTTACCAATATGGATGCACACTTTTTAAAATAATTCTACTTTAATTAAACTTAGGAGATAATATAATCAATTAATCAATACTGTTTAGGAAATAAATTATTATTAACTAACTTTGCAGCAATTGCGCAAGTAATAATAACTTGTATTCGCACTAAATGGATTTAAGATCATACAATATATAGATATATAGTGAAGTAAAATAGACATAAAGATTCTAAAGTAAAATGTATATATGTGTATGATATATATTGTGTGTGTGTACATATATTACATATCTTGCCTTTTGCTGTTACTGGACATAAAAATTAAAGATAAAAAACACATGTAAAAAAGTGTATTTTTTTAATGTTGTGTTGTTTGCATCTACTTTCACTTTGTTTTTACTAATTTCCACCAAATCCCTAAAACTTTTTTTATTCATCTGAAATGGAAAAGTTATAATTTTCAGTCCTCTGTGAAAGCTGTAGATCATTTTTGTACCACTTATTGAATTTCATTCTTTTGTTTCATTCAATGTTTTGGCCTTCTCGAGCTTCAGATAATTTGTTGGTATAAAAGTCACTGTGAAGTAGTGGTACTGCTAGTTCTAAGTTTGGTCTTGATCTGTTGATAGATGCTTGAAATTTCTCACTGTGAGGTGTGGTACTCTTACTTACTAAAAATGTGTAGGATTCTCCACTGTGTAATTCTAAGTTACTGTTGGAAGTGAAGAATCTTAAGAACTGATAAGCGAATAATTGCTTGAGTTCGTGTGACAGGAAACAACAAGATAGAAGGGTAAAATAACCTTTTATTATTCCAATTCAAGTTTAAGAAAACTCCGTCTTGGAGTTGTACAGTAAAGCCAACACTTGGACTTGAACGTAAGAGACTAAGAATTAAACTAAACTAATCTTAACTAAAGAGATATAGCCGAAGCTATCAAAATTCTAACAGAGTGGGCCCTTTAACACTAATTGACTGCAAAGCTATCAAGGGCCTAAAGTACGGCCGAGCATAATAATAGTTTACGAGAGAGTAGCCTAAAAAGGCGGACACATGCAGCCAGAATATCTGGTATCTCTCTCACTAAGACTGTAGAACTTTGCAGTTATATACCGATCTTTCTCATTAACATTCAGACATGACTCTAAAACTACGTTTTGGCTGGAAGTGGTAAGTTGAAGTAAGAATCGATAGGAAAGGAAGTTTAACTCAAAATTTAACTGTTAATAAAATTAACATAATCCTTACGAATGGTAATATAAAGCTTGTACATTTTTTACTCCCTGATGTGCTTCTTTTCACAAAATCTATTGAAAATTTCATTAATTAGAACATATTTATATGCTCTTAGAAATTTTCTTATTAGCCATTGTATAATGCAAATATATGTATACAAAATCTAATCATTATTAAAATAAGATACTCTTGAATAACTTTATCATTATATTATAAAGAATTTGATGAATTCTCATTGCATATCCGAGTAGAAAACAGCTTTAAATTTTGTAGTTGTTTTCTCAGGATCTTCATGATCATCAGCCTCTTAATCCTTCAACACTTCACTCATGTATCCTAATTTTTTGTATTCTTTTAGGAAATCTGTATGCGATAATAAATTATCAGGCTATCACAATTGATTTCTACAGTGAGTTTAATCTCTGACTGTCCCATTTCATCGGTGGTCAAGCTGCTAAGACCAATGAATACTTCGACTTTGACCTGGTTTCAATTCGAGGCAAACACGCTGTTACATTTACCGTTTTTCCCATGTGTAACATAAATATGAGCCAGTTTCCCTGAGAAAGTCCTCTACAGTCATTTCTTCCCCTTTTCAGGTTGGCCTTGTGAGCCATTCCATACTCACTTAGTCTAACCTTTAATTATTCCTCAGTATCTTTGTTGTAATCATTATACTTGCCTATAAGATCTGTCTCATATTCATATATAATGTTCTTACAAATTGCAGTTTCCTTATTTTTTACCTATCCTTCATTTATATTTCCTTGTTTCCCAAATTTTCTATTGTTAATTGATTATAACTAATCCACAGTACAACATAGTATTGCTCTTTGTGGATATGCTACCAGTTGTGAGATGTTTAATGAATGTGTTCTGTAAAATTGTGAACCTTGCAATATAAGGCTAATTGTACCTTCTTTTATTATGGATATGGAAACCCAGATATAGAAGTATTCCACTTTCTTGACCTAAATTTATGCTTTTACTATACAAGTAGTCATACTTAGTAGTTATGGATTTTTGACTGTTTATGTGTTTACAGTTGCAATCAAGTATATTTTTAGCAAGTTCTCTTTATTTATATATTTCGACTTGGAGCTGGGTGAACTGCCATTTTCTTCTGTTCAGTTGATCACTCGTTGCATGCGAGTTCAAATTTATTTCAGTACATGTTACTTTTATTTTTTAAAGAATTGGCTGTGTTTTTCCCTTATGTGAAAAATGCAAGCATTTTTTTTATGTCTCCTGTTACACTAACCATAAGAGAATCTTTAGTTTTTAACATTGTAATTTGAAGAAATAAATTTTCAACTATCAGTATGCATTTTCACTATTTATAGCTTGTTAAATTGAGGTCATTTAAATAACTGTATTTCTATTCTATACAGAGTGCTTTTTAATCTTTTGCATCAGATCAAAATGCTTTTGAAACAGTCTTAATATACTCAATGTTAGGATTATTTTGAAATTTTCGCACTTCTTTTCTTCTATAAGTGATTTTTTTTTTCTATGATGCAAAATATGCCACATCTAATTACCAAAATAAAGGTCAACTTTTTAACACGTACTTGAGTAGTTGTTTCTTTATCCAACATGTTAGATAATTTATTTTACATTGTAAGAAAATTATGTATGCCATAATGAATAAGTTTTAAATTTTTGAAATCATACTTAGCTTAAAGTGATATTCTAAACCAGTAGTTTATTGAAAGCAAACTGCATGTGAAATTTGTTCAGGCGATAAGCTTTTCTAGAATTGTGTTGATAAATTTTGAGACATGGACTGTTGAAATTGTCACACATGATTACTTTTAATTTTCTTAGGGAGCATTTTTTGATGCAAATGCTATTTCTAATGAGAAAAAAGAATCCCTGACTTACTTAAAACCTCGATAATGAATGTTTGCACATGGCAAGAAAATATATATTTTTCAGGATGTTCTGCCTTTTAGATATTGGCATTTAACTTTCTACTCAGTTTGAATTTAGGAAAATTCCGACTCAATTTTAATTTTCTAATTAAATTGTTTCTCAATCTAAGGATCTTTTACTTCTACATTTTTATCTGCAATGAGAGAATTCAAGAATTGTGCCACAGTCTTTAGATCTTTTTTATATTGTTCTCTATTAAATATATGACCCTTTAAATCATCTGCTGTCATTTTATCAGTGGCATATTCACCTAATTTTTCAGTAACAAACTTGAATCGTTTCTAACATTTTTAAACAGATTCGTGGTTGATCTAATGAAGGTATGAATATGTAAGTCAGACTTACATTACTACTTGGTATTAGATTTGAAAAATAAGTCTCTCAAATGAATCTATTATTTAACTCTATGAAACTATTACATTCTTTATGTTGCTATATCTATAGATCATTTACCAACTCAAATGCAACTATAGCATCAGTTAGTTCAAAGCTCAATTTCTGAACAAGTGCACATTAGAAGATTGTATATAAGAAATACTTAGCATAACTCAAAAGTAATAGAACAAAACCGGAAAAATGTAACTCAGATTCTGCACACTCAAATAAACACTTTTTTCACAAGTCTGTGACCTGTTGCCAGCCATGTAATGTGTGAATGTGTAAGTAAATGGAAATGAATGAAAATTAGGTTGTGCTATATTGCATATTTGTTTAAAATCAGTTGCATTCATGCTGCATTTCTTTAAGCCAAATGTTAAATTCTACTAATGTATTAGACAGCATTTTGTGACTAATGGATCTTTTTATGTTTTAGGACAGAAACAATTAAATTTGATTCTCAGCCAAGGGGTCTTGTCTGTGGGAGTGGTGATACTGTATTGGTTGCTGGGATAAGTGAGGTAACCATTTAATAGTTTATATTTTTACTACTGTTAATTAGTTATATTTTGGCATGTTTGCTTCTATAAATATCAGAATAAAAAATTTCTTTTGATTTTAGTTATCAGTTGTACAAGGTGGTAAAAAAGTTAACAGTTATCCTGTTGACTTTGAGGCACAGTGCATATCACTGCATCCTCAAGAACCTGATGTTGCTGTTGGTGGTGGAAAAGTAAGTATAAAATTAGTGTATATTTTTACAATACCATATATTAAAAGGATGTTTATTTATTATATTTTGTTATTATCTTTTTCACAGGACAATAAAGTACACATATTTCTCTTGAATGGTGTTAATTTTAGTCCTAAGACAACAATGGAGCATCGAGGGGCCATAACTGATGTAGCATATTCTCCTAATGGCTTGTATTTAGCAGCAAGTGATTCCAACCGTAAAGTAGTTCTATATAATGCCCTAACTTATGAAGTAAGAACTTTTTTTTGGTCATTTTTGTTGTAATACAGAGCATTTAGATGGTGATATAGCCATCATAGTGGTTATAGACATAAGACTTAAAAAAAAGCAGTAGCTTTGTTTACATCTGTGCAAGAATTCTTTCGGGGGGGGTAAAGTTGTGCACGTGTGAATGGGCAGTTGACTCGGTTAAATTATCCACTGAATGTCAGTTCTCATTTGCACTAGGGGTCAGTCCTTATATCAGATAGCATAAAGTTTATCAGTTAGAAAGATTAAATTTTATCGAGTATAACTTGGTAGCCTTGCAATTGATATTCAGCTTGTGACATTTGTAAACTTAAAACCATCATCTGAATGGTCCGTTACAGAACATTTATGCAATTTGATGCCTAAGCATTTTGCCTGCCTGTTTGTGAAAACATTTTTATGGGCAAAGTGGCTTACGTAACTAAATTTTATTTGAGACTTAAACGCAAAGTATGATAAAATGATCAATCAGAAGCAGCAGATGACAAATTTATTGTATGTGAAAGAAATTGTATGGGCTGGCTGCATGGCTGGTTTTCATGGATTTTCTCTTGTGTAATATGAATATAAACCAGTTTTCTTTACAGTTTCCCCATGAAAGCATCCCTCACCTCAGGCAGATAGCCTTTGTGCACTCTGCCCAAATTCAAATAACCTAATCTTATCTTTATAATTTAATAATAATTACACCTGCAAGTTTCTCCTGATATACCTTTTTTAAAAATTTGACTTTCAGTATAATATACATTTGTCACTATTTTGTCTGTTTACGTATGAGTAACTGTTAATTTAACAATTTTAAAAGGAAATTAAATGGTACAGTCTAAAGTCGTTAATCCGGACTCATCGGGACTTCGGCTATTCCGGATTATAGATCATCAGTTTAAATCTGGTAAGATGGCATGAAGAAATTATAAAATTAAAAATATGAAACCGTAATTTATGAAATAAAGAACAATTATGATCTTAAAGGGTATCAAAATTTACAAAAAAAAAAAAAAAAAAAAAGCTTAATATTTATTTGTTTACTTTATTAAACATTTCTTTCAATGTAAGTTGTTTAAGTTGCTTCGTTTTATGTGATAATACTTTCTCTTTAATTCTATAAACAGACATAATTTCTTCTTCAGTTACAAAGTTCTGCTGTTGAAGTCCTATAATTGCTGTGTCGAGAATACCGACTAATTTGTCGATCGAAATTTTTTCGTTTTCAATAACCTCTGTGACACTTTCTTCACTATCGGAAGCGAATAATAATGACAAGGAATTTGATTTAAATCATATCAAAGACGGAGTATATTGAGATGAAATACTACATTTAGTAAGGAATTATAAGTCAAATAAAATAAAAACATCTGCCCTGAAGATAAGGATAGTGCTGACAAATCAACTTCCAGTTCATTGCGCGCCGTGGCGTTTCCCCCCTTCCCGTCGCAGAGCAGCAATTGATAAACAGATTTCGGAATGGTTAGATAAACAAAGGATTATGCCTTTATCCATTTTTTGCAGCAATTCCACTTTTTGTTTAATGGACTTCGAAACATACTTTCACTTTGTAGATCCTTTACGTATTAGTAAATATATATCGGAAATTCTATTTGACATAATCGAAAGTTCAAGCTTACTTTTATAAAATTGCTCTAACAGTCTGCAAAAAATAATAAGCCAGATCCAATTCGAAGATTAAGGAACAACATCTGCAACATTAACTGATTTAGATAATTTTAGCTTAGCTTATACCGTCCGTTATACATTAAACGCGCATGCATAAATGTATTATGCACATGCGCATACGCATATTCGCAGCCGTAAATGTCTTACGCGCATGCCTCAACGCGACGCATGCGCAGAAAGTTTGTAGCTTTGAGGTCCGGATTATAGATCATTCCAGATTATGGGTGTCCGAATTAACGACTTTTGACTGTATAATGAAATACTCATAATTCGAACTCATATTATGCTTTTTATGTTACACAAAATTTACCAAATCATGTCCTCGCTTTTGGAGAAATTAATTTAGCTGAATGGTATGCTTGGAAAATAGCTTCCTATATCAAATTTTCAAAGAGGTATATAATCTGAAAAGAATTTAATGTATCAAAAAATAGCTGTGCTTAAGGGAATTTGTAGAAATCTGCAAACAGTTTAATATTCTAAAAAGGGTAGATGTGTGAGAGATAAGTTTATGCAACTGTCATAAAATTAGTATATAAAAAAAAGGTTGTATTCTTTAAAAGAAGAGAAATTTTCTTGTACCACATGTTTAAAAATTAGGATCTTTATTTAACATTTGGTACCATAACATATGAATTATAATTGTGAAATCACCACTTGTGTTTATTAATTATAAATGAGGATAAGTGCAAGAATAGCTTTAATTTATGATGAGGTGTTTGTGAAGCAATAGCCTTAAAGTTTAGAAAAGAAACTTTGTCACTGCTATGTCTTTTAAACTTTTTATTCTAAAATTTTATCCTTGAAGATACTGCTTTATATGACAGTGTAAAAACTGGAAGAGGCTATTAAAATAAGCAATAAAAATAATTTTAAAAATAAATTTGTGTTTTAACTGTAGATTAATTTATTCTGTTCCTTTATTAAATATTATCTCCCATTTTTTAGTATTGAAACATACGTGTAATTAATCGGGGCTCATATACAATTAAGATACAATATACAATATTCACAATGATATTTTTGTTTTCACAATTTGCAGATATTTCATCAAAACATAATAGCTAACCATTGAACCAGAAAGCAGAGAAACTTATTTTCGGCTTAGTAAAATATGTAAAAAAATAGTAATAAAATGTACAAGCACACAGTTTTAAGGAATGAAATATTTTTTGTATTGATTAAATGTAATATGCACTTTTATCAGTGCAGGCTTTTATCAGTTTAAGCTTATAGCTATGTGTGCTTTTATTTGTGTGCTTATTTTTTAGGTATTTATCACAGTGTGATTGTTTTTGTGGTGTTTTATTGTGCGTTTTTGTCCAGTGCACTTTTATCTGATCACTGTTTTTAACATAAAACTCGAGGCTTCTTCTCCATTTTAGAAATAAAGCATTTAAAGCTGAGTTTGGTATAAAGAAGTGAAAGATACCTTTTTGTGAATAAAAAAATAATTCTTTTAGTTTTGTGTTAGATATTATAGTTACTGATGTCTTTTGTTCCTGTATGGCTATTAATCATCGTTTCGTAATGATTTGCATCATGGCTGTTCCTAAACCCTTTCGTGCCTAACGGGACACATACGTCCCAAGCAAATTTCAAAAAATACTCTTGGGATAGAAACGCTTCTCTGTCTAATGGTAGACTTTCCCACCAGTCCTGCCAATATTTTTGAATGTATTCCCATTCACAGAACATAGATGGCACTACCGTACATAATGCAATTCCCGCGTTTTTGAAGTGTTGTAGCAGCTCATTCCATAGCCTACGAACATAAATAGTTTAGTTTTGGAAAATACCGCCTATTTTCGATTAAATTTTGATTTATCCATAAATCTAAGGCCAGATAAGTTACTCACGAAGCGGATTACCTCTAATAAACTGGTAAGTGGCAAAGTTTTACTTCCGTTTTTATTATCGGGACATATGTGTCCCTCTCATCTTGGATAGTGGGAACACATTGTCCCAACAGTCCTATGTGATCATTTCTCTAGATATTGTATTTTTCGGTTACTTTTGAAATAGTTGCTTATTATTTTTAATTTAGGCATATATTAATTCAATCTAAAATGACTCGACGCCGGGGACTTACTAATGAAGAAATCAAAAAAATTTTAGAAGAGTCAGATGACGAAGATATTGATTTGGATGATGAAATAGACGATCCCGATTTTCAAGATCCAACACACAATTTGCAGTACTCATCCGATTCAGATGAGTGTGAAATGGATATCGTTCATGATACCATTCCCCAAAATACAAAGAACAGCGATGCTTTGAGTGATACTGATACGGCATCACTTTCATCAGTTGATGAGATATCATCAGCTAATGCTTCAGGCTGCAAACCAATCTTATGGTTCCATGCAGATTCAACTTTCCAACCTTGAATGACAATTCCAGCAGAGTCATCGCCTAGTTTGTTATTCAAATTAAATCGTTCAGCTACCAAATTGGACGCGTTTCTCAAGATATTTCCAAAAAGTCTTATGATTTGGATCTCTCAATGCACAAACCAACGACTTGAAAAGTTAGGACAAACAATTCACCCTACAGACCACTCTGAAATTATGCTTGTCCTTGGATGCATGCTTGTCATGTTTTACAATAGGGTGCCGAAATTCTCTCATTATTGGTCACCTAATCCTTCCTTGGGAAACATAGCAATAAAAAATGCTATTTCAAGAGACAGATGTAAAACGTTGCTGTCGAAACTATATTTTGCTGCACCAGAAAATCCAGAAAATGCAAGTAAAACATACTATAAATTGACGAGGTTGTTTCCGTGCCTGAAACAAACCTTCAAACAGTGCCGCAGCGAAAGCTCATATTAAGCTATTGATGAATCAACTGCGAAATTCAAGGGACGTTAATCCCTGAAACAATATATGCCGATGAAACCTGTGAAAAAGAGGGATAAAAATTTGGCAGCGATGATCTGATTCAAAAACAGGATATGTATATGACATAAACATTTATTCCGGAAAAGAAACGGGTGAATTCATGTTCAAGGCACACTCGGGGAACGGGTAGTATCAAAGCTAACGGAGACAATCCGAGGTAAAGACGTGATGCTTGCGTTTGACCGATTTTTTACAAGCGTGCACCTGATGGAAACCCTTAAATTTCCTGCTGTTGGTACATGCATCAAGACACGCAAAGATGTTTCTAATTTTGCAACAAAACTAAGCAAAAGGGGTGAGGCTGAGTTTCTCGTAACTAAAAATGGAACGTTGTGTGCGAGGTGGCTTGATTCAAAGGAAGTGATGATGCTAAGTGATTGCCACGAAGCTAAATACAGAAGGGTAAATCGAATAAGAATTTGAGTGCCCTGTGGCAATCGAATTCTACAACAAAATCATGGGAGGTGTAGACCTTGCAGATCAAATGGCAAATGTCTATGAATTAGATCGAAAATCTTGCAAGTGGTGGAAAAAAGTACTTTTTCGCCTATTGATAAGCGCAGTGGTCAACTCATGGATTGCGTACTGCGAACTCAAACATCGAAAAAACCCACTTCTTGATTTCATTGTACCTCTTGCAGAAGCCTTGATGGCGTCCGGAAAGCTGAACGCACAGTATCAACGCCGTAGAGGGAACTGGATGCCCATCCAAAACATCACAAAGCTTACTCAATGTTGGTGACCATCTGCCAGTAACAACAAAAACACGACGGCGGTGCCGTAAATGTGCACAACAAAAGAAGGAATCGCGCACCAAAATAATGTGCACGATGTGTAATGTCGCATTGTGCATTGATTGTTTCAAACCATACCATTGGTAATTAAATTTTTATGACTAGAAAATCCTTGGTTTTCTTTACAAAATTACTCATTTAAGACTACTGGGACACATATGTCCCGGTCCTAAATCAGTGTTCAAAATTTTTCTAAAAATATAACATCTTAATTTTTAGCATTCTAGAGTGCCCTACTCATAGTTTATCTTATCAAAATTGTTCTGTTGTAAAAAAAAAAAAAAAAAACTCGTCGCGAAAGGGTTAAATATATGAAACACATATTTTATATATTTCAGCAGAAAATTACAGAAAATTTGTATAATTTAAATGGTGCAAGTTGTTTCTGTTGTCATTTTTACCCGTTGTCTGCTTCATGTGCTAATAATAGAACCGAAAGCTTTTTTTTATCTGTAAGCTGTAGTAACTCTGCTATCAAGCTTTTATTTACTTGTTAAAGACTCAACACTTAATATGTTTTGAGTGATGTTCCAGCAGTCAGTCATGTTGCAATTTATCTTAGCTAAGCATTACCTTTAAGTCAGAATACTGACTTACAGAATTTTATTTGAAAATGGACTGATGTGTGCAATATTGCGAAAGGTTGATCTAATTCTAATGAAGCTAAATACTTCAACAATCTACAAAAATAATCATTTTATTTACAAAACAACCTGGATTGCATTGGTGGTTCAGTGGTAGAATGCTCGCCTGCCATGCGGGTGGCCCGGGTTTGATTCCCGGCCGATGCACCATATTGCGAAAGGTTGATCTAATTCTAATGAAACTAAATACTTCAACAATCTATAAAAATAATCATTTTATTTACAAAGCAACTTGGATTGCATCGATGCTTCACTGCTAACTACATCGCAAACTAAAAAAATAACATTTTTTCTCAGAAGCGAAGCGCTCTCTAACGGCGGTACAGAAATCATTTGGGGGGTGTTTCCACATGCAATCAGAATACTGACTTAAAGGTATGAGTTCTGTAATTGGTTATAGGTAAAACAAAAGCATGCACATATTTTTTATTCATTTATTATGATTTAAAAGAAATGCACGTATTTGAACACTTTCTGCATATGGATTTGAAGCTTCTAGTTTTCTTTGAAAATTCTCTTATAATGAGGAAAATTTAAAAATTAGTTCAACATTGACATGGTTAATTTGTATAAAAATTATGAATGCAGTATAACTCGCAGAAGTAAAAAAAGTATTTAAAAGTTTCATCTGTGATGTAGAATGGCTCTGGTAGTGTTTAGGTTCTAAGTGTAAGAAAGCCAGTTATTTATGATTTATCAAAATGTACAAATGCTGTGCAAGAACATTTAGCATACTGTGTATGTAGTTTAGTTTAAAGGAAAATGCTGATTGCGTTTTATGTACGAGGGCCATCCAGGAAGTAGATTACGTTTCCGTCTGTGTCCGCTAGGGGCGGGGCTAGCGCGGCCATCTTGGGGTCAGAGCGTTGCGCAGCTCAGTCTGCATCTAGCCGTGCTAGTGAGAGGTTCGTGCTGTGCTCCATTCAGATACTGTGACGGTTTGTTTGAAATGTCTGCGTTAATTGAAAATCCCGCGAGAGGTGCGCTCAGTAATAAGGTTTCTGACTGCAAAAAAACTGTAAACCGATAGAAATCTATCGGCAGCTTCGTGAAGTGTATGGGGACAACATTATCACTGAAGGTGGGGAGTGCGTCAGTGGGTCATAAGATTTCAAAATGGCCGAACCAATGTTCACGACGAAGATCGAAGTGGGAGACCCAGCATAGTGACCGCCGAACTTCTCGAAAAAGTCGATGCTAAAGTCCGTGAAAATCGAAATTTCACAATAACGGAACTTTCTTTGAGTTTTCCACACAAATTTCGCGAAGTTTGTTGCACGAAATCATCAGCAAAAAGCTTGGTTACCACAAGTTTTTGTGCAAGATGGATTCCAAAATCTTGACAGAGGACCACAAAAATCAGCGAATGGCTGCAGCGTTGAACTTTTTTTTGGACGCTTACCATAAGGATGGTGACTCTTTACTCGATCGCATCGTTACTGGTGACGAAACATGGGTGAAACATGTGAACTGTGAAACGAAAATTGCAATCAATGCAGTGGGGGCACACAAGTTCTCCCCAAAAACCAAGAAATGCATGCAAACAATGTCGGCAAGGAAGATGATGGCGACTGTTTTTTGGGACAGAAAAGGTGTAATTTTGGTGGACTTCCTGGAAAGAGGCACTACAATAAACTCTCAAAGGTATTGCCAAACTCTCCAAAAACTCAGAAGAGCAATTCAAAACAAGCGCAGAGGAATGTTGAGCTCTAAGATCTTGTTGATTCACGACAACGCCCGGCCCCACACGGCAAAATGTCACTCGTAAAGTTCTTGAATCTTTTAAGTGGGAGTTGTTTCCTCATCCGCCGTACAGTCCCGACCTGGCACCGAGCGACTTCCACCTATTCCCAGCAATGAGAGAAGTGGCTGGCTATGCAGCGTTTTGATGACGACACAACAGCTGCAAGAAGAGAGGTAACGAAGTGGTTTGAAGGCGCAGGGGCGCCGAATTTTTCGACGAAGGAATTTCCAAGCTCGTACATCGCTACGATAAATGCCTTAATTTGTATGGTGACTATGTAGAAAAGTAGTATTTGAGTGTGGCTTTCATCTGTATATAATAAAATTTGTTTCCTATACTTTGTTTATTTTTTTATTCCAAAACGTAATCTACTTTCTGGATAGCCCTCGTATAAGATGCATATTTAATTGTTTTTTTATTGCAGTAAGATTTTTGTTACACCTTTGATTATTGTAAAAGTAACTTCTAAACATTCTTCTTTAATTTAGATGTAATCCAACATTAGGATTTTGAAAATTTCTTCATCTGAGCTATGTAATTATTTTGTAAATGGTTTTCTTTCTTTTTTTAGTTGGCTCATACTCAAGATTGGTGCTTCCACACAGCACGTGTAAATTGTTTATCGTGGGCACCAAATTCTTTATATTTAGCTAGTGGTAGTCTTGATACTAATATTATTATCTGGAGCACTGAAAACCCTACAAAGCATATAAGCATTAAAAGTAAGTGATAAATTTGTTAATTCTTAGTTTTTATGCTTATTTTAGAATTCTTTGCAAATGTAGGGTATTTGGCTGTTTGGTTTAAATTGATGTTTTATTTTAAAATGTTAGCATAAGTAATATAAGTAAGAACTTAAATATTATCTCAAATGAGCAAAGAAGTTCAATAATTACCCATTTATGCTGATTTTGGAGATGCGAAGTGAAAGACAAATTTAGAAAGGTGAGTGTGAAAATGGAAGAGATATCTTCAAAAGCTGTGATTAATCGATGTGGTATTATGGAAGAAAAATATTTTGTTGCCCTTTTTTTAGTTAAATTTGACCTCCATTTAATATTCGTTAGGGAAATTATTTAGAAAATATACTGATGTGTGTTGCAAAGTTATGTTGCAAAATTGTAAATAGCAACAGAATAATAGTATTTTTTAAATACATGGAATTGTTATAAAGAAAAATCTTTTCAATATTTTTAATGTTTTTAGTATATCTTAATTCATAATTTGGAAATTAGATGTCCACTTTTCTTATTGTTCAAGTTGCAAAGATTTTTCATATATGCTGCCATGAAATTCTAGTATCTCATAACAGTTTCTTGCTGTTAAAAGTTTCAGAATTCACTGTTCCAAGCAATTGTAGTATTTTTAGCTTTCTTAGCAAACGTCTAGTTCCAAGGCTATCATTCTTATAAGTGTTTTTTTTTTTTTTTTTTTTTTTTTTTATCTTTTAAATTAAAAAGTAACTGAATGAGCAGAAAAATCAGTGAACACTGAGAGTTTGCCCTGAGCTTCAATCCTGGTGAATGAGCTGGCTGCATCGTGGTTTTATGGTTTTCTTCATGTGCCCATGACTAAACCAGCTTTCCTTAGAATGTCTTTCGTGAAGGCATTCCGCTTTTGGCAGTTTTCTACCAGAATCAAATAAATCAAACCAAATTAAAAATTATGGTGCATATAGTATAATAATTTTGATTTGAAAATAGTAAATAGACTTAAATTTTATCTAATTTTTTTAGGAATACATCAATTTGTTATATCTCAAATTATTGCATGCATTTGTAAAAATTTAAATTTTTACAAATGCATGCACTGTTTGTGCAACTCACAGACGTTTTTAATGCTATTATCTGCACTATTACAGAATAATTGTTTTTACAGTAGGTATATATTCCATGATACAAAACTCCACCTTGCTTAGAGATAGTTTTTTCTTCTGTACTACCTGATAAAAATATATAAATTTTCTTATGCTATCTCTGTTGTAAGTGCAGTTTTTTTTCATTGATTATCAATCACTGCTGTAGGAAATAATTATGGACTACTTGCAAGTGTATGCATAATGTATGTAGAGGATGATCTTGTGAAAGACAGGCTGTGTATTAATGTTCATCTTAGTATATGTACCATATTCTGTAAATAACTGCCATTTTTTTTAGCCACTAGTTGCCAAGAATTTTGCTGCTGCTAATCTGTACAGATATTTTTGTGGGGTCACAACTAAAACACTTTCAATAGTGAAATAATCAAGTATTTTTAGCTATTCTCTCTGTTTTTAATGAAACTAGTACTAGTAAATCATTTGCAAAACAGTTTTTTGGTTTTTATTTTATTAAAACATTTGAATTAAAAATTTAATAATATATTAAATTACAAAACAACATTTAATGAACAATTTAATTTATACCGATGTTTTTATCTGGACTTTAAATAATTTTTTGATTCTGCATTTTGCAAGCTAATGAGATCCCATATAAAACATTTAAAAGTATGAAGTTTGGTAATAAAAGAGAGAAAGAATACTAAAGGGGTAAAGTCACTTAACAGGCAATTAACTTCAGAGAACAAAGGCTTTGGTATATGAGTGGAATAATAATTGCTCCCTAGTTCTTAGAATTGCAGCTACTTACTGAGGTATGTTATCAATGAGTTCGTCAGGCCTACCAGAGATCAAGTGGATAAGATTTCTGGATATTCCTAATTCAGCTTGGGATCATATATAGTAAACAGGCTGCTGTGTGAGTGTTTTCATCGTTTTCCCCATGTGAAATGTTTCTGTAAGCAAATTTAGACGAAGGCATCAATCTCTTTAGGCAGAGCCCTTATATGCTTTTCCATATTCAAACATATTGCAAAACGTACAGCGAGTGTAGGGTACAATTTTGCACTGTGATATATTGGACATTACTGGAATCATAGATCAGTAATCTGTTTCCTTTATATTATCCACCAAGTGATTCACATTAGGAGCACTTGAAACCAAGTCTTTGTGCTAAAGTAAGTGGAGCATTTGTCATTTTGCTTCTTAAAGAGCCGAGGACCATATTCGTGTTATAGTACCTTGCTTGATTATTTCTTCACCATCTGGATGCTGAAAGGGTTATGTAGGACTCCAGAATATTCTATCAGTGTGTACTTGACAGAGATTTATTTCCGAGGACAAAAATTTAAACTTAAGCGTGCAGGTAAAGATAATTGTAAATAAGCGACACAGTTAATTTTTTTTTTTTTTTTTTCATTTCAATAGTGGTTGAATACTTATTATCAACAAATACTGATTGTTTTACCCCAGAAGAGTAGTGCTAAAAGTGGTAAGCAAATACCATAAAACAAGTTTATAAGGTATTTCTCCCGCTTTCATAGCGTGCCTTCATGGTGTAGTGGTTCTGCACACTGAGCCGGTATTCCAGAGGTCTGTGGTTTGATTCCTGGTGAAGGGGGTTGCTATTTTTCATTTTTCCGGCTTTTCCAATTAACATAATGTCTCTACAAGTTCTTATTGAAAAAGCTATGGAAAAACACCCCTACCAGATGATCCACAAACATTTTATTAAACTGAATTAAGCAGGGTTGCCACACTACCTGGAAAACCGGGAAAAAGTCAGGGAATTCGGAAATTGACCAAAAAATTCAGGGAAAAGTTAGGGAATTTAAGTGTTTTTTTTAGTCAAAATCTGGAAAAAGTCAGGGAATTTCATACAACGATCCCGCCAAAAAGGCGAGTTTTTGCACCGACGACGGGAGAGATCACTTTTTTGGCGAATTGTGTATCACGTGAGTGTCATTCGGGCAGCTGGCATAGAGCCAATTTTCGCAGCTGCAATTTGATTGTCTTTTTAGAAAGGCAAAGCAAGTTTCCCGCAACTTTTGGTTTCCAGTAACCTCAAGAATCGCATGTGCAGTGCATGAACTAAAGAAAGTACCTGTTCTCGTATAAAACAAAATGGGTTTAATCCTAGTATACGGTACCATGAAGGTTAGAATAAAAAAATATGTATTGTAAAGAAGGAAAACCTCTCTGCAACAGACGTGGCTCTGTTCCATCATAGTGGGAAACAGCTGTGCATGCGCCAAAGCTCGAAACCGGTGTCGAAGTTCGAAGGTCACGTTATCAAAAGTTCATAAAATGAATGTCATTTAAAATTTCTTTAAACTCTAAAGGAAAAGAAAATATTTTTTGGCGCAAGTAAATTAATTCATGGATTAGTTATTTTGAGGGGGGGGAAACTACGAAAATCCGCTTTTAAAATTATTGCGAAAAATCCAAGAAAAAACATTCTTTGATAAAACATTTCTTCTTGGATTTTTCGCAATATTTTAAAAACAGATTTTTGTGGTTTTTTTTTTTTTTTTTTTTTTTTTTTCCCCCCCCTCAAAGAACGTTTCTTCTTAACACGTGTTTCTCAATTTCCTGTACACAGCGCGGAGAATGAAATTCTGGCCGCCAGGTTCCGTCGCCAAATCCCTTGGCAAATTTTCCCTCCGCTTTTTACATGGACGTTCTTTGGTTAGAATAATGTCCATGTATGGTAGAGGGATTTGGCGACATGATGATGAGCAGTAAACGGGTCATTTTGTTCTTGACGACAATTTTCAAAATCATGCGAAGGCCGTATCGTATACTAGGATTTTACCTTTTACCGCAAATCTTTTTTTTTTTTTTTCTTTCTTTTCTTTTTAATAAATACATTGTCATTTTGCAGTAAAATAAAAAAATAGTAATCAATCATCTAGGATAACCATGTAATATAACTATATTCGCTAAAATGTCGTTGATTATTCTAATTAAATTTTTAAGTAATTATCTTTATTTTTATGTTATTCATATCATTTAATGTTGCTTCTTCCCTCTAAATTATATTTATCATTAGTAAATAATATTTCCAAATTTCAGGAAATTTTCTCTGGCATAATCCTGAAATTAATTCTAACAGTATGAATACCATCATGAAATTTAATGCACAATTTTTTTTCTTTATGTGTGCTGCGAAATAAATATAAAATACCTCAATTTAGTAAAAAAATATCATTAAATAGATTTCTTTCTTTTGTTTGGCTGCAGAATGTCTGCAAAAAAAGCCTTATTTTATTCCAGATTTGGCAGATTCTAATCTCAATCTTCAGTGGAGAAAACAACTCCTATTATAATAATATTTGTGTTTTCAAGTGTTAAAGGTGCCTTTTAAGAATACACCTCACACAATTAAATTTACCTAAAATCTAACCTAACTTTTAGCATTGTGTTGTGATTTATAAGAACCGGATTAGCCTCGTGTTGAACTGGGGATGAACATGAATAATAATTAAATAAAACGTACAGTTGTTATCCAGTGTATATATCTTAAATTTTATTAAGTTTTTTAAAGTGGAAAAGTAAACAAAATTATCAAACAAAGTGTACCAAGAATAATTAACCCCTTAACTGCCGCGGGCGTATATATACGCCTTGCTCAGCCGATGCGTTAACTGCCCCAGGCGTATATATATACGTCCTTCCAAACTGCTATCATTTGCTTTGCGCTGCTACACCTAAAATTATTTGCAAAGTTAACGCATCGGCTGCGCATCTGGGCGCATCAGGGGCAGTTAACGCATCGGCTGAGCAAGACGTATATATACGCCCGCGGCAGTTAAGGGGTTAAGAATAAATGTCCTCTGGGATTTATTGAATAATTAAGTGAATTTGCTACACAGTACAAGTAATACCATAATTAATTTACATCTTAGCACAGCCAACGTACATTACGCGGATAGACTGGAATTTTCTTGAAATATACCTGGAAAACCTGGAAAAGTCAGGGAATTTCATTCTCCTGTTTGAGTGGCAACCCTGATTAAGGCTTAATGATTAATTTTAAAATTACAAATAATAAAAAATAATTTAACTGTATTATAAATATTTTCAAATCTTATCAGTTATAAACTGTTTTGCATGACATTTATGTTGCAGAGACTGAGAAAAAAATTTCTTATAATTCATTTTTTTACATTATTTTACAATCTGTTTTTTACATTGTATTTTTTGTAGTCGTGTTAATTTTGCAAAATATAGAAGCTGATATTTTTTAGTTCATGTTTGTTTTTCTTGTGTTAAGTTGTGCTTTATTGATATCATTATTGGTGTCTCTCACATTGTTTTGTTTTCATTTACAGAAGCTCACCCTCAAAGCCAAATCACCAGAATTGGGTGGCTTGATAATAATGTATTGGTTTCTACTGGTCAAGATAGTAATGTGAAAATTTGGGATATTGTGTATTAGTTTTTAATACAGCCTCATGTTGCGACTTCTTGCAATATATTTGGTGTTTGAAAATTCAGCAACATGCATAAGTCGAGGTGCAAAACAAAAGAAATATATAATATTTGTTCCAGAAAAGCCTCCATAAATGTGCATTTTATATCTATTGAAAAGCTGTTCTGAAAGGGATTTATTCTATGTAAAAAATTTGATACAGATTTTCACTTGTTGGATATGAAGTGTTCTACACATTAGTTTGATGAACTGCAGTTCTGGGATATTCAGGGCTTATTCCTATGTATTATTTTTATTTTGATTGAAACTGAAGTCAATTATTAATGTTAAATATGCTTTAAAATGAACGAAAGGTTACAAAGTGTACTTTAAATTCCTTTGTACTGGCTTTATGACTAGTACACCATCTCTGAGTTCAGCAGCATGTTTGGTTGTTGCATTCTTTTCAAATTATATTTCGGAAGCTCTGTGTGTAAATATTATGTGATTTTTGCTGTTCATGCTTTAGATGTATTTATAGTTCTTGTTTATTCCTGCTTATATTTAATGTTATTTTACTAGACTTTTCGAAATGTTTGAAAGGTGTGATATTGCTTAACTTAAAAGTTTTTTAATCTGATAAAATTATGCTTTAATGAAACTAATCTTTTTTATGCTTTTGCTACTTTAATAATTTGTTTTTTTTTTTTACATTTTGATGTATATTGTATTGTCTTTTGGGACGTTTTGTTGAAATGTTTGTAATGGGATTTTGATTTTGTTCAGTAGCTTAATTTATTATGTTAAGTAAATGTAAACTGTTGATGTTAGAACAAAACTATGTTTGTACCAAAGATTTCACTATTTAACAACCATGCTTTATTTAAATAAAATAAAACATTTATGTGTTTATCATCTTTGAGATTATGAAAATTTTGTATTGTTTGATTGGTGTGGGTTGTATGCTTTTTTACATTAATGATCTTGCTGTGTTGTATTATTTCATATTTTCTTAACCACTTGCGCTATGACTAAACTTCATGGTTGCAGTGCCGTGTGCTGGTTATATAACAAGCGGTAAAGTGTCTCATTTACGCTGCTCCGCGTCTGCGAGTGCAACATCCAGAGCTCTAACAAGAGAAATAAACAATCTCGTTGTTAGCCGATGTGTGCGCCATGTTATTTTCATTTTTGCGATAAATGCCTAGCGTCGTGGTGTTCACGTAGCTCGTAGTTTGAGACAAAAGCATCTCGATGTGCGTGGCACGTCTTTTTAGTGCAAGTGGTTAAATGGTTGAATTCTTTTTAGAATTTTTGTTTTCTGCTATTTTAGCAGCTGCCTGTAACCTGGATGGGATTCAGTGTTTTGAATCATATGAGTTCTGAGCTGTCTGTAGTAAACATTTATTGGGCTGGAACTTAAATGCTTTAAAAATCGTGAATACTTTATTAAAGATTACTTTTATTGATCAAAATTTATGGAAGTGATTTTCTTTATTCGGGATTATATCTCATATAACTTTAAATATAGTTAGTGCACATTGTTTTTTACAACCATCATTAGTGGTAAAAACTGCCCAAATGTAGGTGCTATATTCATCTGTATTTATACCTGCATTTCCAGCTCTCCTATTAACTGCATTTGTTTATCAGTGCCCCTAAAATCTTAATAATCTCCCAAAAAGGGATATGAAAAATTGAAAACTGTTTCATGTATCTCGTCTTCATATGAAATGAGTTAAAGGTATATTTGTATTTGTATGTTTTATTAATTATCTGTTACAAAGGCATAATAATTTATATATTTTAAACTTATAAGCAGAAAACAATCTCCTTTGTTTCAATATTTCTAAACAACTCTTCAATCATTTATATGAACAGAATACATTTATTTTTATATGGTCCTAGATATTAGATGTTAGTGTGTTAAGTGAATAAATTTACATCTGAATTTTGCAATATAAATTTGTTTAACAGCCTGGTATTATTTTCATTTAGAAAAGTTTACCGTTTGTATAAATGTGTGTATAAATTGTTTCAGCAATGTCATTATTGAAGGTGATATATGTTATTTTTTAGCAAAATGCTGAAATTAATGTGTTCTGGAAATGCAATAAAAGGGACAGTTAATCAAGTTTTGAAATTGATGGTTTTGATAAAATATTTAATAAAACCCTATTTTTGTATGTGTGTGGAAATATTTTGATGTTGTCCTTGTGAAAGAAAATTATTTGAATCATAAAAAAATAGGTTTATTTATACCTTTAAATGAACAATAAATATTTGAAGAATTTTATGTGTGCATTTTATCTAAATTCCTTTGTACATATCTCTCTTTTCCATGGAAATTTGCCCACCAGTGGCTGAGCGGTAATGTCTCTGAACACTGGTAGTTCGGTCTGAGATTCGAATCCCGTGAACAGTCTGGTTGCATGGGTGTTTTCGTGCTTTTCCCCCATATGTAACGTGTATATGAGCAAACTTCCCATAGAACTTCCTCCACGAAGGCAGCTCTCCCCTTAGGAAGATTCCCATAATCACACAAACCAAACCAAAGCAATCCAGGGAAATTTGATCTATTGCTTTTGTGATAATTAATTTCCAGATCTCATCATTTATTACATTATTTTACATTTATTTATTTACTTGTATTAACTTTAAAGAATTATCTACTAGTTTCACAAAAGTAATATTTTAGTTGAATATGATAAAAGTCTGTCCTGTAGCGAAGAATTATAAATACAATCATGCTTCCATATCTTCTCATTTAGTATACATAGTTTATAAGTACAGATTGAAGAAGGCTGGTACTTCAGAATTCTGTTATGGATATTAGGTATTGCCAGGCCTTGGTAACTGTTAGTCCTCTGAAAAGCAGGGCTGTATATATATACAGCCTAGAATATTTTTGTGACATCGTTAAGAAAGTATATATTTCTGCATTTTTGAAGTATGTCCAAGAATTTAAGGCAATATTTTACAAGTGCATAAATCCAAGTGTAAAGTAGCAGGGGCATTTTGGCATTGAAATCAAGAAAAAAACTCTTCCTTATAGTGGTTTTGGAAAGTTTGTGTGCTATCTTAGTGATATACCATGCCACTCAAAGGGTTAAGCTTCCACCCCAGTTTTGGACCCCCCCACATCTGCTACCATCAAACTCTTGAGAGGTCTTTACTCACCATGTATTTTGTCTGTCCCTTTGCTGCATAGACACTGTGTGGTTATAACCATTCATACCTTTCCCAGTATTTGAACCCAGGCCAACTGGTATGGCAGTCAGGATCACTAACCATTATACTGGCTGGGTGGCATCCATACTTTACAAAAAAAAATTTTTTTTTTCAAAATATGTGTGGAGGTAGAATGCACCCTAACAGTGTGAAACAACAACTTATTCCCATTAAGTAGTGTCTTTCATGGGGACATACCACTATAATTCTATAGTAAGTCAGAATGTTTGTAGCACATATCAGACTTATTTAATCAAGTAAGGAGAAAATGCTGTATGTAGAACTTTGAGTGTATTCTCAGATTATATGTCACCCTTCAGACATGCATTGACTCACTCATAATATAGTGATATGGGAGTCATGACTGACAATGATGAAAGAGTACTTAACTCTTTTCTTTGTTTCTGTTGTAGTACTTGAGAAAATTTTTCATTTCTGTCATCTCTTGTAACAGTATACGGTTTTATGTAATAAAAGTACTACAGTTTGTTCTATTGCATTTTGAAGATTAAGCTAAAATGTATGGAATTATTACTTTCTTACGTAAGTGCATGTGAAAGAGTATTTAGTATAATTTGTATTTATTTAGGTGTATAAGACATAATATAGTTCTGGAATAAAACATATTAATTGATATTACTTAGCACTTTCATAAAAATTTCAGAGGGTTCGCACGATCCTTAAAAATCCTTAATTTCAACCAAATTCAGCAGGCGGTCCTTATTTTTAATTGTCTGAAATTTCTGTCTGTTTTTACGACTGCTATTTTGAATGTGAATTTTAGACAAATATTTTTGATGATTCATTGACAAATATAGTTATCTTTTGAATGGGTGAAGAGGTTCATGGATTATAATTTGTTCCTATTTCTAAATATAAACGAAGGGGATACTCAAGTTTCTGAGCAAGAAGTGAAACGTAAGCATTTCGAAATTATTTCATATTTTCCAATGAAGAGCTCTTAACTTTTGCGTCTACTTTTTGCGTTTGGGCTTGTCAATTCTTTATTAAACAGTTCCAAATTTATCAACTTATCAACATTTTGGCGATTTTAAGATCAGTTTCTATAGAAAATTTTTAGTTCGGAAATCTAGGAATTTTCTCGATGATATTTTTTTAAATATTATAACATTGATCAATTTCATTAAAATAATGCTAATATATTGAAATTGTATTCAAGAAATAACATTAAAATGAAACATTTTTATTTTTCGCTATCTTATTATAAAGTGACACTATTTTTGATTTTGGCCACTTATACAGTATTTTGAAACTGAAAAATAAACAAGGTAATAAATGCTTTGGTCTTTAGCAAAATTTGTGAAACAACTCTTAGCTGTAGCAAAATAGCTATGTAGTTAATTAAAATGCCTTTGTTTTAATTTTATCATGGCAAGAGATTTTTCCTTGTGGTTGTTTTAATATGCATCAGTTTTCTCTATGGAATAAATTTTATACTTTTTTCTTTTTTCCTCTGAATTTTTTTTTTTCAAAATATTTTTAGGGTTTTGCTGTTACAGAATTGGTAGGGGTAATTTTTCTTTAGAATTTTAGACATTGCAATTTGGAAAGTTTAGAAAGATTTGAAGGCATGTTTTACAGACCCATGAATCTAGCAGATTCCAGAAAAATGTCTTCGTTGTATTAACACGAAATGGATGTATTTTACAGAAAGTTTGTGATGAACTTTTACTTTTTGGAGAAACTTCTGAAGAAGAATGGAAACAATATTTGAATGTTTTACTTCTGAAAGTAGAAGTCTTTTTCTTAACATGTTTGTGGCCCACCAGCGGCCGAGCGGTAAAGTCGCTGAACACTGGTAGTTCGGTCTGAGGTTCGAATCCCGCGAATGGGCTGGCTGCATGGGTGTTTTCATGGTTTTCCCCATGTGTAACGTGTATACAGGCTAGTTTCCCTTAAAAAGTCCTCCACGAAGGCATCCCTCCCCTTAGGCAGATAGCCCTCGACAATTGCCGTAATTAAATAACCTAACGTATCCTTAACATGTTTGTTTACCTTCCCATTATTTTCTCTACTTTTCACTAGACACAAGCATGGAAAGCTTCTAATCTTATCACATGGACACTCATTTATAGAAAGGAATTTTTCTATTAATAAAGAAATTGAAAACTGACAGTTTAAAAGATACATCTTATATTTCTCAGTGCATCGTCAGTCACGTAGCTAGGGTGGGGCAAGGGGGACATCTGTCCCCGCACACAGTATCCATGGGATGCCAAATTGATGTTACAAAATTTTAGAATGAAATGTTTTTCATTCTTAGCATACAGATGGGGGGGTGTGTGCAAAATCTTCAGTTGTCCCCGAATGCTGAAAACCCTAGCTACAGCTTTGTGTATCATACACAGGGCTGGTACTATGCATTTTCCCACCTGATGCAAACTCTGTGGATCCTAAATTATAAAATTTTGCCGTTTCTAAATTCTAAAAATTCTGTTACACCTGCTTTGTAACCGGCCTTTACCGTATATCATTTCATATTTATTCTGAATGTTCACATTACTAAAGAAATAAAATTGGCACCTTTTCCTATATGATCTACATGCACTCAGTTTTTTAGAATAACAGAAATCTTTAACCGCTTGCCTGATTATCTCGGGTTTGTATGTATTGCAGTTAATTATTATCCCGAGAAAACTCGGGCGAAGCAGAATTTGTTAGTATGATTTCTTTTATTACGGTTTTATTTGGTCTGGAGGAAATGAAAAGAAATATTCACCTTTGATTGGCAATTTGCCAAATTTTGTTGGTTGCGCGATTCTTTTGGAGGAACTGGTCACTTGTCTTCCTATTGTATTGTATACATTGGCTTGTGGATTAGTAATGTATAAAGAAGGATGCATGCGTTGAAAAAAAATAAAATGATGGCGATGATGCAAGATAGCGAAAGCGATGATTTTTCAGATAATAATTATGAAGAGGTGGGGAAAAAAAATCAAATCCAACGAGACAGTGTACTCTGTGCTCCCGTGAAAGAGATTCCAAACCCTAGCTACAGCTTTGTGTATCATACACAGGGCTGATACTATGCATTTTCCCACCTGATGCAAACTCTGTGGATCCTAAATTATAAAATTTTGCCGTTTCTAAATTCTAAAAATTCTGTTACACCTGCTTTGTAACCGGCCTTTACCGTATATCATTTCATATTTATTCTGAATGTTCACATTACTAAAGAAATAAAATTAGCACCTTTTCCTATATGATCTACATGCACTTAGTTTTTTAGAATAACAGAAATCTTTAACCGCTTGCCTGATTATCTCGGGTTTGTATATATTTGCAGTTAATTATTATAAGAGAAAACTCGGGCGAAGCGAAGTTAGTATGTGTAGTTTTTTTCTTATCATGAAAAGTTTTATTGGTTGGCAATTTGCCGAAATTGTGATTCTTTTGGAGGAACTGGTCACTTGTCTTCCTATTGTATTGTATATGTTGGCTTGTGGATTAGTAATGTATAAAGAAGGATGCACAAAAAAAAAACATAAAAATGATGGATGGCGATGATGATGCAAGATACGAAAAAGCGATGATTTTTCAGATATAATTATGAAAGAAAAAAATCACAATCCAAGAGACAGTGTACTCTGTTCCCGTAAAAGAAGGAGCAGCGTAAGCCAGTTAAGAAAAGAGACCAGATACCAGTGTAGGAAAGTCGGACATCACTCTGTGTTTGGCAAAAAAACAAAGATTAAAATTTGTGTTTTCCGTTTGCCCGAAGATAACTCGGATAGTAAACTATATTTAAAATTAAAAACACCTCAAAAATTATTTAACAACTTTACTAAAAACTATATTTTGATTTGTTTCGTTGTGGTTTTAAATAAAATAAAAAAATGTGATGATTTTTTGCAATTTTTTTCAAAAAAAATTTGTAAGGGAAGCGGTTAATTAAATACAAAAATTCTAAAAGTAAGAGGAAACGTGTTGAAGAAGGAAACCGAATATATAAAGAGAGAGAAAATTAGTCTTCAAAGATATGTATGGTTATTATTATATAAATTAAGCAGTTGTTTATAATTTCAGCCTTTGTTATAATTTTCT